TTTTGAAAATTTCACTTGTGCTGTAATGATAATAGAGGAGAATAATAAAAAAAAGATTACTATAATGTTTGATATAATAAATTTATTTTCTAAACAAGCATTAAATGAATTTGTAATTTTTGTAAAATACAGTTATAAGATAATAATTCTATTCAATTTGATTGTTAGTTTTTACGAGGAGACTAATAAGTTGTACCACAGAGTTAGAACATAAATTTATTTTTCTTATATTGTGTTTTCTAATTAAATTAAAAGCAACTAGATAGAAGCTTTTGAAAATAATAGTTTTCGTTTCTCCTATTCCAGGTCAGTTTTACAAAATGGTTCCCTTTACTTCAGTAGTGTTCATCATACTAGAACAGAGCGGCCAGATGAAGGGGTGTATCAATGTGTGGCAACAATTGAGCATCTAGGAACGATTGTTAGTCAGTCTGCAAAACTACAGGTGGCATGTAAGTATAGATACATCCAAACTTGCAGTATTGACCAATGTTTTTCATCGGAATGTGTGATATGCATGTGATGCTAAGAAATCAGATTTAGGAACTTAGTAATGAGAATTGATACACTTTGATGTGCAGGTTCTCAGTCTTATTTAATGGAAACAGTTGTGCTAAATTTGAAATGCTATAATTGTATATACAGGTTGTAAATGATTAAAGGATAAGAGCCAGTCGTTAATTGTTTTAATACTTTTGTGATGTCTTAAAGTAAACGTTAATTTAACATTTATTTTAAAATGTGTTAAACTATGTCCATTAACAAAGCTTCATATTCCACTCACTTTTTTATGCATTATCAGACGATTACATAAAGCAGGGTTCACTAAATATCAGTTGCAAGATATATCAGAGTGGTTCAAAGAACAAGACACAGTAAAAGATACAACATATTTATAAAATAATGATAATGATCCTAAAATGTTTTTGAACAACAAAAACAACAAAAAAAAGCACAAAATATAAGCACACTATTAGACTTTACTGATATATTTTATAACAGTAATCTGCACCCTCCCCAATTGAGTATGGGCCTCAGAAAATTGTCTGGCTACTCATGTGGACTCAAACAGATCTAGACCACTTCAGAAAGTTATCCAGGCCATAATATGGCTGTTTAAAATAAAGTTGGAGGGGGTGGGTAATTCATGTAGCCATTATAATGATAAAGAGTGCAATTTGTAAACTATCTTGTTTTGCTTTGTTCAGCTATGATTATGTCTGTACATAAAGGTTATTATATTACAAGGAAAATATGAGAAAACACAGGCATTTAAACTAAGTTTTAGTATGTTAAATTTAATCTGTGAAGTAAGACTTGAGCTATAAAGATTATATTTGAAACAAAAAATAGCTTAGGTAATATGATGCTAGAATTTAGTTTGGTTTGGGCATCAAACAAAACTTCTATTACAATTTAGAAGAGGTGAAAATTATAAGTTTTGTAACCTAGATGTTGCTTTGTTGTAGAGTAAAACTTTCCACATGGATTAATATTTCTAGTGAAAAGTTGTAAACAATAAATCTAAGTACTTTCAGAAAGAATAAACTTATAAAGAAGAAAGGCTAGTTTAATTTTAAGGTAATATTAGTAATTTAGCATATAATTGGTGGGTTCATTGTGCCGAGTAAACTTCCTTTTTGTGGTTAGTTTGAATGTTCTTGTTATTTTAGATTTGAAACTATTGTTTCACTCCACATGCATATGCTATAATAGTTATTTATCTATTTATAAGTGAATGAATATTAGATCTAATTCAAAATATTACTTTAATATGCACATATTATTTAGTACAATATTTTATTTAGTGTGATTACTAAAATGTTTTAAAATGGTTAAGTCTTTTTTCTAACTGTGCTGAACTTTCATAACTATTGTGTTCCTTGGTGTTTATTCATAAGCTGGATGTTTCCTAAAAGGTATAGTTATTAAGTCAAGTGAGACATACACTGAGTGGTCACAAGTAAATAGACACCTAATTTTTCG